AAAGAGTGTGTCCAGCCCTTTGAGTTTCTAGGATCTTGGTGCTGACTGGGTGACAAGGCTGGCGCAGGGCTGGGTCATAGAAAATGTGAAACGTCCTACCATCTAGTGGGCTTGTTTGCAAATTGGCAGCTACACTTACTGTCTACACCTCAGGGGGTCTTACTGTCCTTGGAGGAGAGTGAGGGACAGGCCCTCTCAGCCCGGCTTGGCTAAGGGCGAAGGAGAGCAGCGTGGCAGCTCCCTGCCTCTTGCACTTTCAGGGCTTGCCCTTGTTTCCCTTCTAAAGCCACAGTGCGATGTTTTTCCCCCCATCACATCAGAGAGTCTTGGCTTTCAGCTATATCCTCTTTCAAACGAGGAAAAACTGAGCAAGGGGAAATGAGAAAAAGAAGGGGAAAAAAGAACAAAGAGGAAGAGGGAGCTGAAGGAAGGTACTGGAGGATAAAGAGTGTGTCTGGAAGAAAGAAAGAGGAGGAAGCCGGCACAGCTCCTCAGGTAGTGGCTAAGGGCCCAGTATAAACTGGGACTGTGTTCGCACCAGTGTGTGAAGCTGTGAGTCAGACACATTCCTCTGTGCAGTGGGCAAGGCATCTCTCCAGGGGCTGGTTCAGGGGGCTGTAGCTCACCTCTCCAGAGTTTCTCTGAGCTGAGAGGACACAGACCTGCGAGAAGGAGAAATCCACTTGTCCACTGCATCTGCAGGTTTCTGTGAATGCAACAAATGCTGGAGAAGCAACAAGCAAGGAACTGGTGAAGACCAGAGACGTTTCCTCATGGCTGGCAGAGGTTATTTTGCACCTATGGGAAGGGAGGTGTTTGCTTCTCAGCCTTTTGGTGGTTAAGGAAAACTACTGGACAGAGCTTGTGATGGACAAGATCAGCAAAATGAACTGGGCGACTGGAGGTGAGGAATAGACTTCTCTGGAGTACCTTATGTCTGCTGAACTCTCACCACTCTTCCCTCTTGTGTTAAGGCTAGACGTGTCCCATACAGCAAGAAGGGAAGGCAGAGAGAAAGAACAGGTCTCTGGGAGTCTGACTTGTTCTTGCTTGCCCTACCCAGAGATGACTTGTGATCCTTCCCTGATCAGTGCAAGGCCTGGAGAGGATCCTGAGGGTTGCAGCTTCTTGGAGGAAAGCAGTGGCGAGGGTGATGGCAGTAGCATCCTGGGAGGGGACAGCCCGGTCACAGGGCCACTGGGTGCGGTGCTGCTGGTCATGTACCTCACTGGGATGGCAGGGAACATCTACACAGTGGTGGTGGCCTCTGGCAGAGTGGCAGGCCGCTCAGCAGGCTCCTTGGGGGTCTATGTGATCAACCTCGCCCTGGCTGACCTCCTGTACCTCTCCACCATCCCTTTTGTGGTCTGCACCTACTTCGCCCATGACTGGTTCTTCGGGGATGTGGGCTGCAGGCTTTTGCTCAGCCTGGACCTCCTCACCATGCATGCCAGCATCTTCCTTCTGACCGCCATGAGCCTGGAGAGGTACTGGGCAGTGGCCAGGCCACTGCGGGCCAGGCCCCTGCGGGCCAGGCGGGCTGGCAACACTTACCGCAAGCTGGCCTGCACCGTCCTCTGGCTCCTCTCACTCCTTCTTACGGCCCCCATGATGGCGATGACCCAGTTGAGGGAGAGGGGTGGCTCCCACAAGCGCATCTGTGTCCCCACCTGGACACCATCAGCCTTCCGTCTCTACCTGACGGTGCTTTTCGCCACCAGCATCCTGGCACCCGGCTTGGTGCTGGGTGTCGTCTATGCCCGCCTGGCCTGGGCGTACCAGTCCTCCACCTGGGGCCTGGGGTTGCCGGCATCTGGCCGGGCCCCCGCTCGGCGGCTCTTCTCCAGGATCTCCACCATTGTGGTGGCCTACTGGGCTTGCTTCCTCCCCTTCTGGGCCTGGCAGCTGGCTAGGCTGTACTGGGGTGAGGTGCTGAGCATCGGCCCCGCCACTCAGGCCTACCTCAACTTTGGCATCACCTGCCTGGCCTACGGCAACAGCTGTGTCAACCCCTTCCTCTACACCCTGCTCGCTGGCAGCTACCGCCGGAGTCCCAGCTGGAGCGGGATGGGGACAGCACGGCCCCAGGCACCATCCCAGGAGGCTGCAGGGGGCCCTGTGGGAGGCCATGGCATCCCTCCAGCTTTCAGGGAGTTGTTGGGGTCTGTGGGGGAAAGCAAGGGGTGAGAAGCGCCCCAGCTTGGGAACATCTCCCAGCCTTTAGCTGAAGTCGAGTCAAGAAATAAAAGTGCATCACTTTCCATGCTCATATGCAGTGTCTTCTGTCATAATTGTGATGCCTTCCCCTTCATGCTTTCCCTTTTGCAAGGCCGCTCACCCTTCTCAGCTGGGTGTTATGATGCTTGTCTCAGGGATCCTGACTCCATCCTCAGGTCCTTCAGCTCTCATATGTTGGCCTCCACCTTGCGCAAGGCTGGAGAGTGGGTGGAAAGGAGCAGTCAACCTTGATATATCTAAATTATACCACCAAGGAACCCTCGCCACCCACTCCTCACCTCCTTGCTAGCAACGGACCAAACCATAACAAAGCCAGGACAACAATGAGTCACAGATTGCACAGGACCAGTGAGTCACTTCAAGAAGCAGGAGACCTGAATAATGTTCATCCTCTTGTGGTAAAGCTCATAGTAAGCTTTCTTTCTCCACCCTCCACAAAAAAAAAAAAGTATTTGAAGAGTCTTTCTAAAAAAAGACTCCTGAGTGCCGTTAAGAGATTGCCCAAAAGTACAGCTCAGAGACGTTAGCACATCTACTTAGCTTAACTTTTGAGACCAGTCCAGCAGAGGAACCTGCAATGAGAGAGCTCCACTACACGTCCATTATCACAGCTTGTGGAGGGGGCCCACACCAGCACCATGTCCCTGCTGTGATCGAGGAAATCTCCAACTCTCTGGCCTACCAAATGTACCCCAGTCTGCCAGACTGTGTCAATACCACTGCATAAACCTGGCCAGGTCTCTCTCCTTGAGGCCATCCAGCCTAGCATGGCTCACTTCCATACAACTAAACTCTCTTCTCATCCCCAGAAAGAATGGCCTCATCCATATAACACCACGGGAAGAGTTCCTAGGCTAAGCTGTCCCCTAGCTATGCCTATGCCGGGTGGCAATGTTAGATACCATGTTTACTATTACAGGTGTAGCCCTAAAGAGAAGGATGTGATCATCCAGAGCAGACTGGCCTTGGGCAGCATGGGGCTTCAAGAGAGATCCAGCTGCAGATCCTCAAGTTTTTGTACACCCTAAGCGTTCCTGCCTCCTGGCTCAAAAGCTCATCTTGAGCTGTTGTCTCCAACTCGTCTCTCTCTTCCTCCTCAGCTCCCCAATTCCTAGGATCCAAACTTCCCTCTTTATAGGTATGTGAGACACAGGACCTCATGAATTATGGAGCAACAATGGGAGCTGCTGCTGCCAAAGGAGCAAGTTCCTGTGCTCCAGCTGCTCTGCAACAGCATAATAGGAAGAACTGGCCCAGCCAGGCCTGCAGGAAGTCCTTTTAGGACATTGGCTTGTTTGTGCTTTGTGTTGCTTGTGGCCAAGCCTGGAACTAAGGACCCAAAGGTTGGGTCTTTCCATCTCTAGCCTACCTGGTAATTGCTGTGCAGTGTGGAAAGGGCAGCTCCTACCTTTCTTGTACCCACCAGGCACAGCCTGCCCCACAGCAGTAGTCATTACTACTGAAGTAACATTAGAGTGGCAGAGTCTCTGAGGCAGCTGCTGTATGACACCTTGGGTAACAACCCACAGCCCAGTGAGAACTATGCTGTAGCATCCAACATGCCTCATCATCTTCAGTCTCCTCAGAGGCTAGCCTCAGATTAGACTAAAAAGCACATGGGGCAGAATAAAACCAGACTTCTCCAGGTTACTGCCCTCACGTGCCACATGAGCTATGGCTCAACCATATTCATGTTTCTGCAGTTACTGGAAGAAAGGATTTGGATGAGGAGCCCACTGCACGCTTCACCACACTCAGCAAGGCATTCTTTTCTATTTCTGCCCCCCTGCAGCAGCAAGAGGTCACAAGAAAACATAGTGGAGCTGTGTCATGAGAGGGACCAGTCTTTACAGAGCGGCACAGGCCAAAGCTAGCACAACTGAGGACTTTGTCTTTGCTCCATGCCCCACTAGGATTACCTAGCACAGTGACTCAAGGCTGTCTGTGGCCAACCAGGGATGCTTAGTTTAGGGAGAGACAGATTTCATCAACCCCCTTTACTCAGGCAAGGTAAGGTGCTAGTCTCGACCTCAAGAGTGGGCGACTTTGCCTAAGGGACATTTCCACTCTCCCCTGTAGTCACATCTAGTTCCAGTGTTTCTTCCCAAGACTTTCCTTGGGCTTTTCACCTTCTGCCTTCCCAGGCTTTTGCCTCTCACTCTCCTCTGTATCCATGACTTTCAAAGCCAACACTGGCACAATGCCACTCACATATGGTATTCCAGCAAATACCCTCCTTCCCCCACCCACATGGACTTAAAGTATGAAATAGATTAGATTTTGAGACTAGGTAGACCAAAACTCATTTATTGATTTTTTTTTTCTGTATCATTGAGACTGAGCTGTCAGGGGAAGCTATTCCCAGCTGATGGACTGGAGTACAAAGTCCCCTTGTGTATCAAGGTAATCGAAGACAGAGAGACCAAGCCGGTTAGGAAACTTGAACTGGTGACCTGGCAGTTGAACTGTCAGATCACTTTGGTTGACAGCAAAAGTGATCTGCAAGACAAATGGAAAAGTCAAAGAAAGTTTCTACCAAGACACCCTCAAGCCTCCCCACTCTGCTTTGCAGGGTAAATACACTCAGCAGCATAACCCACTTTTCAACAGCAGGAGTGTTATTCTGGTCTCCCAGGAGATGCCCATTCCCTGCTTGGTTCAATAGTAACATCCCTTTGAGCAAACTGGAGCTCGCACATTTCATCCCCACCCTCTATCACTGCTCAGCCTGAATGGTGGCACTGGCCAAGCAGGAGAAGCCAGCCACCTCCTGTACAGACAGCCCTGAGACAACTTCTGCAGTTGGGTGCCCTGTGCCAAACACCCTCCCTTCACGAGGGCAGAGTGAAGGCTGGACACACAGAGTGTGTCCCAGGTCTCACCTCTGTGGTGCCCCCCTTCTGGAAAGGGAAGACAGTCTCCCTGTGCTCTGCACCCCACTCTTCCACCTTCTTTGAGTTGCACACTATGGTGTTCACATCACCATGAGCATCAAAGCGGGGGTTGAAGTGAAGCCCAACGTTGGAAGCATCCTTCCCCAGATTCAGCACAAAACTGCGGAGAAAGACATCAATACTGTGTTAATCAGTACTATGCTAGTGTGTTGCTCATTACCATGAGCTCCTCAGGGTCTGTTGCTTTAAGCCCAGCTGAGGGTAACCAAAAGAAACCCTTTGCTAAACTGCACAGCTTCTTAAAAAGGTGGTGCTGTGTAAGAGGGTGATAGGGCCCACAGTGCCATCTCTGTGAGAGACACTATTTAGTTTCCGCAAAACTTTTAACAAGAGGACAATTCAGCACTTAGCCCTGAGCAGGGAGTTATCCTGCACCCCAACCAGCTCCCAAAGAGTCAGTTGCTTTCCACAGATTTCCTTTCAGCCCCAGACAGTTAGCTGGTGCTGCACCCTGCCTGACAGCCACTGCCTTCTCCCCACCCTGCAGGCAGCTGAAGTAATTACCATGTCGTTCGCTATCCCAAAGCATCTGCAATGGCAGTGGGAGGAAAACAGCTTCCTAGCCCAGTGTCCACCTTGTCTCCAAGCCTCTTACCCAGATGAGGAGAGAGCAGGCATTTAATTTGGCAAGAGAAAGCCCAGGAGGCTTTGCTCTGATGCTATCAGACTTCAAAGGCACTGGGAAGAGCTGGGACATGTTTCCTGGAACACTGCTAGTGCTGGTACAGCAGCTACATGCTCCACCTTACCCACCAAGAGGCCCCATCAGCCACAGACCTGCACAAGGGCTGGGGGCCCCAGCCACCCTGATTTCTGCAGAGTTAGAAGCATATTTCTAATTCCCACCTCTTCCTCCTAGCATCTGACAGGCATCTCCACTGGGTGAAAGCAAACTTCAACACCTTGGGACCCCCCTGCTGCAACATTCAGCCTTTCCATCTGTATCATTAGCTGGAGCTATGGCTCAGAGCATCCAAGACCTTCCCACTTGCTTGGACCATAATCTCCTCTTGCGCCTTAAAGCAAGGCATCATAATGGTGTCCCTGCTCCTAGGCCATCTTCGTGCAAGGGAAAGGATGTGTCTGTGGGGATGGTCTCAACCCAAATCTCAGTATTAATGCAGCTTTCATTTCCTTTACCCTGCACTAGAGAGGATGGGGTCACTGCCAGTGCATGCAGCTGGAGCTTCACATCTGCTTCGGCTTAGCCCCTTGGCAGTAGCGAGTGTCTGCAATGTGCATTAGGCAATGACTCACTGGGAAGTGCTGCTGGTGTTAACCCTTTCCAAAGCTGCTCTTCTCCCACCCAAGGGAGGGATTCCCTCTGTCCTCCACCAGCAGAAGACAACTCGGCATGGTGTCTTGGCCATGCCTTGGCAACACAGTACTGTACTTACCCCTTGGCATTTGGTGAAATTCTCCCCTTGACGGTGAGGCGCTGGCCAGGCTTGAGACCCAGGTTGGTGCATACTGGTCCCTGGGGAAGGTGGAGGCAGAGATGTCAGCTCAGTACCTGCTGGCTCACTTGCTCTGACTTGGCAGCTCTCCTTGCTGCCTTGCAAGGCAGTGCCTTGCTTTGGACCACTGGAGAGACAGGGAAGCTCCCTGCCCCGAGGGCATTGCACCGAGGACATCCCTGAGAAGTTACTCCAGTCACATAGGACATGTGCCTGATTTCCCAACCCTTCTCCTGCTGCTGTCATTAACATAACTATATTTCAGAGCAGTGAAAGCTCCCATCACACCCACCCCATCCCAAACACACCCATATGCCTTGTAGGTCTCACATCATCCCACACAAGCTTGGCTGAGCAGGGATCGAGACTGCACTCCCTTCCCATGGCTTGGATCTGAACTTCAAGCCTTGCCTAGGTTCAGGGGCTCAGACACTTTGCTCACCAGCTCTCAAGGGCTTGGTAGTGGGTTTCTTGGATGTTCAGCATTTGCAAGAACATTCTCCTGCCCCATGCACACACCTTTCCCCACTTTTTCTCTAGGAGAACTAAAATACCCTTATAAACCCATAAATACTTATCTTCTATCATACCAGAGGCAAAGCCCCAAGAATACTGACAATCTTTCCCCCATTAATAAATCTTTTCCCTGCTTTAATAAATACGCCTGCACTTGGGACGCTCCCTGATTAATCACCCTCAGCCTAACGGAAGATAAATTAACCAAGGAAGTGCACTCTTCTGACACAAACATCTCCCTGGCTGCCCTTAACACTCACAGAAGGGCACTTCTGTATAGCACATTTCCTTACAGGAGAGATAGAGATAATGATTCAGTGACTCATGAAAACTTCAGCCAGGAATCAAGCAGTAAGGCTGCCCAGAAGAGGAGATGCTCAGAGAGCAATAAGCATTACTGCAGCTGCTTCCCCAGAGCAGAGCTGCTGTAAAACAGGTTACCCCAGCAAAACAGCCAGCCCCACCAGGACCCTCCATATATATCCCCAAAGGGATCCTGCAGGGGAAAGAAAAACCAACCCAAACCACTCCTGCCAGAGCAAGAAATAGCAGCCTCCCCTCTGTAATGGATGCAGCAGGGATCCTTCCTCCCCAGAAGCAGCCACCCAGCATTAGCAGACACACAGGCCAAGGAGTGTACGGAGGAGGACAGCACAAGCACCCTCACACCAAGCCAACACAGTCCCACTTCACCAAGCACCACCTTCAGCAAAGCTGCCCCATCCCTTTCTCTACTCACGCAAGACATGGTGCTGCTCTGGAAGGTACTGCTCCTCTCTGCCAAGGTGCAACAGTCCCAGGCAAGTAGCTGAAGGAGCCCCACCCTCGCCTTTAAATAGATGGAGAGCTGAGTTGCCCCAGCCCTTCTCCTCCCCACCCACCAATCAGACCGAGGAAAGGGTGGGAGGGGTTGGTTTTGGGGGGAGGGAGGGCAGATCAGGCAGAGCTGCCTCCTCCCACCCTCATCCAGGCTCCTCTCCAGGATGCTAAACCCAACCCCTCCAAGCAGGCTGCCGGCTGCTCCAGGAGGAGATCCAGCTGTGGGTGGCCATGAAGCCAATGGAAAATAGTTTTACAATGAGTGTTTTACTATCCAACTCTTTTATCCCACACGGAAAATGGTTAGATGGATTGGGACTTGGTGGGAAGGGTCTGGCAGGAGCGCTGGACTCTTCAGCTCTGGCTAAATCAGAGGCAGAAGAAATATCCCTGAGTGCACACAGTACCTCAGAAACTCTTTGCGGTCCAGGTGAGACCCCAGAAGCACATGACTGAAGCTGGATCCAGGGTCACCCAGCTGTACTGTCAAGCTTTGCTGTCCTCAGAGGCTGCCCAGTTGCTGACCCAGCCCTTATCACCCACTCTCGTAGATACAGGAACCAAAGGAAGGAAAATAGTCCTTATTCTGCAGAACCCCTAAAAGACATTAAAACCGTGCAGTTCATCTTGGCTGTAGGGCACAGCAAGCCGGGAGGGAGCTGTCTTAGAAAGGTGAGGAGGAATTATCCAGGAAAGCACTGTGCCTGGTTTTTGCACTTAACTTGGACACATCTGAGGGGCTGAGGAAAAAGGGGATGGGGGCAAAGCATTCTATCACAATCAGCCATATGATCTATATGTCTTTTACATGGCTCCATGTTCTCTTTGTGGCACATATTATTCACTCTGGGTGAAAAGATTCCTTTGGAAAATGTTACCCAATTACTACATGGCTCACTGTAATTATACTGAAAGAGCAGGGAAAAATTCAGGCAGTGGGCCAAGCCTGTGGCTTAAAGCTCTCCTTGTCTTGCATAGTTGTCTCTAAATCACAAGATGCTTTGTGGTTTCCTTAAGAGACCCAGAACTGAAACTCACTGAAACACTTTCTTCTTCCCTTTCTATGAGGCCCATCAGTTCCCCATCTCCTGAGGACATGATAGCCCCCATCCCTCTTACCCCCGTCAAGCACAACCCCGACAGCACGAGAGGCTGCCACTCCTGGCTGTTTCAAGTTGGTGCCATCAATGCCAGCAGAGGTAGCAGGGAGACCTTCCCACCTGCTGGAGTTGGGGAAGGCCTGGAAAGGCTCCAGCCTTTGACAGGGATCACTCCATGACACAAGGGGGCTGGAGTAAAGGCCAAAGTGGGCTTCTCTGCTCTGACATATCTGCTTCCTCTTCACCCCTCTGAAAACCTGCCTCAGGGTTCAGCCTTGAGCCAGGCCCATGTGGTGCTGGGAGAGCAGGAGTGCAGGAGGAAAAAGCACCTAGAGCCAGCTTCCCTCTTCTCAGGATGTGTGCGTGATAGAAACTGCAGGATTTTGTGATGTTCCTGCAAAGGATCCCAGACTTCTCTCCAAGGAGATCAGCTGCTGCTGGTGTCATGGTCTAGCAGGTTGCAGAGGTTCGATGAGGAAATGCTGTTTCCTTGCAAGGAATGATGGACGGGGAAAGGAAACGTGTAGATACTTGCTCACTTTGAGCTGGAGATGGGGCAGACCATTTAAAAGGTCATTTATTATGTACCACCATCACTACAATGCCATATCTCCCTTCCTACCTCTCACTGGAGCCGTCACGATGAGGTGACAAAACCTAAAGCTCCAGGATCAGAGTCCTTACATGGTATGGCTGAATTCAAGGGAGGGAAGGGCTCTGCTCACCCTGATGGCACACCAGACAGGAATGGCATCCCCAGCTGCACTGACACCTGCTACACCACACTGAAGGTGAAGAGATGCTTGTCCGTTATTTTCAGGAGCAATGTGGTGTAGGAAGAGCCACTGTGGGTTGAGAAGGGTAGAGCCAGGCTGGTGAGAGCTGGCAATCCTCACCTCCCATCGTCTCATTCCTTATCAGTGTGTGGTGGGTCAGCAGGCTGATAACCTGCTAGCATATCCTCTAGCTGACAGGTTATCGCCTGCAAAGGATGGAGATGAGGAAGATGAGGACAGATCACAGCAGACCTTGGTGTCATGGGCTTATCCCAGTGTGTGGGAATTCAGCAGTGGGATAGGGCTCTTCTCCTCCACCCTTCCAGCCGGGATATTCCTCACCAGGAGAGCTCTCCTGCATCACACTGCAAATCCTTAATTTGTATTAGAGGGAGAGCCACTGCTCTGCACCTTACTTTGTGAAGCAAAAGATCTTCTTTGCCCAAGCCAAAGGGAGTGTCTGGACCTGATGCTGTTGCTGCAAACAGCGCCCTTGGTCGTGCCAAATTTTTGGCCAGAGGGAGCCACAAGTGTGGAGAAGGGAGTAATGTCTGCGGGATATTGCTTCAGCAGTGTCTCATCTCTGGTTATGAGGGCGAGGCAGGTGATGTTTGCAACTGCACCTGCATTCTCCAAATTGGGATTTTGTGTCCTGGACAGGGTGGGGCCAGCAGAGCCAGCTGCCAAAGCAGGGGCAGAACAAATTCCCAGCCAGCACATATGTGCAAGGCCAGAAATCATACCAAAGGCCCCACCAAGCACGTCCGATGCTAAGGGTTAGGCATCCCACTCATGTGTGCCACCGGACACCTCTGCTGTGGCCTGCAGTTCAGAGACAGTCTGGCTCCTGATAGCTGTCCTCTCACTAGTCTTTCCTTGCACAGTATCCCTGTCTGCTCACACTGCCTTGGACAGTGCAAATTGCCCTTGTACGGGGAGCAATCCCAGATAGTCCTCAAAGAACTGCTGCTGCCTTTGAGGCCAGAGTTCATCCCCTGATGCTGGCTGTGACCCATCATTCCTGTAGAAGGGATCAGACTCCATCTGTTGCTAAGGCTGCCTATAATTTTTGTTGTAGGTCTTCTCCCAGGGCTTCAGCCTTCTACCTGTACTCACCTTGACACCCAAAGAGCCTGTGCTGAGATAGCATGGTTTCTTGAGCTCCCAGCTTTCCTCATGGACATCCACACCCCTCCTAACCTCCAAGCTGCAGTTCAGCTTATGTTGAAGAGAGAAACATGATTGCTAAGGGTGAGTTTCATCATTTTGAGTTGCTTTGATATAAAGCCTGCCTTCTGGTCTAGCTGATAGGCGCTGGTATGCCTCAACATAACCAGACTGGTCCTGAGTGCTAAGAGCTGGAGTCCAGCTACTGCAAGTTGGGGGTTGAGTTGAACTGCTGGGCTGAGCTGTTGGGGGGCTCTAACCAAGGTGGTTTGGCACCCACCACAGAAACAGTCCAGTCAGGCAAGTGTCTGAAGCATAAGAGGGAAGATCCCCAAATCTGCTTGTGAGGGATGCAGTGATAGACAGGGCACCCATTGCAAGTCATGATCTTGGAGGATTGGGAAAGGGCCTGGCTGAAAAGTCTGTGGACTACGTGACCAAAGTCCACCTGTAGACACTGCTCTCCAGCTGGCAAAAGCCTGTTTCACCTGCAATTACTCCCTCAGTGATTTGCAACATCTTTCTACTGGGAGAGAGTCTTTGTACCTGTTCAGCCACTTTGTGTTATGTGGGTTGTGGTATTTTAAATTCAGGATTAGATGCGCTAAACTCAGATTTATTATCTCGCAGACACAGAACCTCACATCAGGAATGAGCCGCAGCAGGATCTCCCAAGCTTTGCCTGCTGAAGCACTTCCAACTACATCCAATTTCCTGAATTAGGAGCCATCTATGAGGCTCCAGCTCCTGCTGACTCCAGAATCTCTACTTTCATCAAATCGATATGGAAATATGTTCCCCACTGGTGAAGATAATCCTACAAATGTTGTCAGATGGTACCTAGACAAGGTGATTTATGTGGGTGAGCCTGAAATTACTAGGAATGACTCCTGCTCACACTGATGACACCAGGATGTCTTAGACACATCTCAAAGTGCATCCCAGGAGCTCCCCAAATACATGCTCCCCACATTCTCCTCTGCACCTCTGGCTGCCCATGTTGGGCTTCATCTCACCTTTGGAGTGTAAACCCTCTCTGGGCACAGCGGGGAAGGAAGAGCTCCTGGTCTGCCAGCTGGGGTGGTGTCCCTGCGGCTGCGGGACGGGCACAGCATCCTGGCCAGGAGGGCAGGGAGAGAGCTGTGTCATGGCCATGGGCAGCATGGATCAGCCTGTGTCAGCCCATGGAGATGTTTGGCCCAAGCTGTTCAAGTGCCCTTCTAGCATGCAAGAATGGCAAAAAGCTGCCCACTGACCTGGGTTAGCTCCTCCACCTTGGTGATAGACAAGAGGAGTCCTCGCCTGACAGTGCTGGAAATACTGACAGCACAGCAAAAATGCACCAAGCCTTCAACTGACTTGGGGGTGAAGGATCCTGCCTGTCAGGCTGGAGTTAGCAGATCTTTAATCTCAGCCAGGTGGTAACTGGCTGGGAGGGCTTCAGGCCATTTGCATTTCAATTTAAGGGCTCTTGACACAGGGAGATAAATCCAGAAGGGGCAGATTGATGCTTTAGGAAAATAAGTTCTGAATTTTGACCCAGAGAGATTGCTTGTAATGATGCAGCCTGAACTGGGTGGTTGCTGCACATAGAGGGTTTCTAAGAGCTGCAAATTCAGGTTAAGAAAAGTCTTGCAGCAGGTTGGGCAATTGCTGCTGAGTCAGAGTGGGACAGCAGACCAGGGAGAGCTGGAAAGTGAATTGAGTAAGGCTTGAGCTCTCCTGTAGGCAGAGTAAAATTAGGGACCTTGTGCAACTCTGCCACACAGTTTGAAACTGATGATACTTTACTTATTTAAAGAAAACGGTAAATCAACTTCTGGCTGGTGACACGAATTTCCAATTTTCCTTAAATAAATCAAGTTGAAGAAATAGAAAGAAAAAGG